TAGGTCGACTAATTTAGCGTCTTGAACCTACTCACAGTGAATAGAATTGGTTTAGTGTTAATTCGAACTTGTCTTTGCAACTTGGTCTAAGCGACAGAGAGACTTTGTGGGACGTATCTAGTCCTGCGCCCCCTGCACCAGATCGTTGATTTGGTACATTTCCAAATTTTTCGCCGAAATCGTTATCGTTTTCATCATCGTCAGAACAGGTTTCGTTAGCATAGAATGTCGAAAGTAGCCATTAAATTCCAGCAAATATAGCCCTGACAACATGAATACATTTTTGGAAGAGCTCAGTCGTATAGGACAAAGCCAAATCAACCAAATCAATCTAGCGTGATCGACCTTCGAATCTCTTCACTTTCATTTGCAATGGAAGTCAGCTCAACACACAGAAACGACGACACTTTACAAGTAGTCAGACCTTTCTTACGCAATTTGGTCTTTTTGTCGGAGCGACCTAATTGGACGCATCTGTCCGAGGTTTACTGTTATAGTAATTATGATGATTCCCAGCATTTGACCGTGGAATTGGTACAGTCCCAAACGTTTTACCGGCATCGTGATTGGCGTCGTCAGTGAGTCTTGCCCTTCTCGGTACATCCTCAGTGATGAGAATGGCTAAACGTCTGGGAGTTTACTAAATCCAAGGTGCAAGTAAATTTGGTAGCTTTGACGATCAAGATGGGGGGGGCTTCTGGCAACGATCCAAAGCTGGGAATTATGGTACAAGATGCGTCCAAATATGTCACCATGGGCAGCACGATCAAGTTACGAAAACGAGGCCAGTCCACTTATATACATCGAAAGGAAATTGCGACCAAAATAGAAGCTACATCATTTTGGTCTTCACATCTAATTTTAAATTATACTCATGAGACGTCGTTCGAATTCGCTCAGCTCTTCTGCTATTATTATTCATATATATATATGATTCGAATGCATATACACACAAACATATAACACAATCACTCAACGCATAAATGTGGCTGTGACTATTTATAAAGTGATCTGGTGTAAACTTGCAATGATGGTCCCATTACGGACTTTTGAAAATGAGGGATATTGGGGGAGCTATGGTTTGAGGGCTGGTCCACGTGTATCTTTGTCCGCACATGTTGATTCAAGTGGTGGACACACACACAGACCTTAAGGGAGTGTAACACTTGCCTGCCTTGGGATTAGAATGAAGGCTTGTCTGGACATTTGGATGCTGCTAGGCGGATGGGCAACAGCTTTTTGCCGTGACTGCTCTTCGCAAAGGTCAAAGGGGCCGAGAGGCGGGCTAGCCCTAGTTACGTGTTCCTCCTGTAGGGTGCATTTCCTTGTCCCTCACTTCTCTCAGCCCTCGCCATTCCCACCTCCCCCCCATGAAGTGTCACGCGATGCTACCTTCGTCCTGGTTAATAATGAAGTAATGAAGCAACTGGTCCCCTAGAGGACGGTAGTCCCGCAACGACGAATCAGGCTGCAAGGCGGGAGGGTGTACATGCAGGCTCCTGAGACAAAGATACCGAGACCACGAGGCCTTAGGGGCTGAGGCTGTGGCCGCGGAGGGGTCGGAGTTCGAGGAGTGAAAAAAGGGGTTGCGCATGTGTTGCGACCACGTTAACCGGGCCTAAGTTGGGCATGTTGTCTGGTGCACTGTTTTGACACGGCATGCTACAGAGGAGACAATTGAAATCAAGAGCTGCGGGTGTGTCTACTCTGAGAGTGGGTTTCCCTGGCCCGGCTACAGGACAGAGACCGTCAACTTCGGCCTGCTGTCCACATGGCCCTACCACGAGGCGGAAGGGATCATGGAATCGAAGTAAATTTGGCTCAAAAAAATGGGGCTAGCACATGGGCTGCAATTGTTTGTGTTCGTGTGTGTGTGTGTGTGTGTGTGTGTGTAAGAGGGGGGGAGCAATGGGCTCAAGGGGACGCAAGAATAATGCACAACCCACTCAACCTCAGGCCCCCATTTACTCGAGGCCATCATGCAGTATATGGCCAAAATCAGTCTGAGAAGACGAGTGCCCATTCCGATGGGGGCGTTGCCAGGTCACCTCGTCCAAAGGTTATCTGTGGTCAGGGTGAATTAAGATGGGCCGTCATACTGACGATGGTTGTCAGGCCGGTAAACCGCAGGTTCTAGTACACTTAGATATACATGGTCACACATACAAACTTGTACGCATACAACAAACACACAAATGCATACATACATACATACATACATA